GGGTTTCGACAGGGGCCCAGGGGCTTGGTTTTGGGCTTTAAACCAGGTACCTTGGATCGACCGCCTGGTCTGCCCCTCTCTCGCGGGAGCGTACATGGCTACAGGAGTCCAAGTCGACATGGGGACAGTGGTTTGGTTTTAGGTTTTAGACTAGAAACCCAGAGAGGAGGGGCTTAGGGATTCGCTGGGATTACAAAGGAGGTCTCTGTGTAGACCAGCCCCCCTCCCCCTTTGAGGGTTTTAATCACCACACCCATCTAATCCCTCCCAAACAGAGGGCAGAAGCCCAGTGGAGCCCAGCAGGGGTTCCTGGGACTGGTCTGGGGGCCCACGTCTTCCCTAGGTGCCACCAACTGCCACCCTGGGGCTCCTATAGCCTGTAGCCCTGCTCCCCTCAGCACCCTCCTGTGCTCCAACCCAAAGTTTAGAGGCTGCCCCCTTGGCCAAAAGATTGTTTACCGGAACACTTAAAACTAGCTCTGCAGCTGCCCCACCACCATGGCCCCCCCTCCTTTAATACATATCCCTCACAAGGGGGCCCTTTGACCGCTCACTCACCTCCCCTGGGGCTGGCGGTGGGAGGAGGGTGTGCTTTGTCCAAAGATCTTGAACATCCAATCTCCTTTCTTCCTCTTTGGCTGCCCTCCAGAGAAGCCAGGCCAGCTGGCAGGACACCAGTCTCAAATGCAATCCGAGCTCACCATTCCTGCCTCCTTCCAGAGGGGGGCCTGGGGCGGCACTCCAGGCCCTCAGAAACTCACACCCAGTCACCGCCATCTCCGCGACCCTCAGAGGGTCTGAGACGGTCACTCTTACCTCCCATTCAAGGCCCTGATCCTCCGACACAAGAGTGAGGATTGTCCTTCAGACCAAAGAGCCAGCCCAGCCTAATGACGGACCACCATGCAGAAAGCGGCCCGTGTGGTCTTCAGGGACTTGAGTCGAAGGGCAAAGGGCACGAGGGGAGAGAAACTCTGCCGCTGAGTGATTGACGCCTCAGAGTGACCCTATAGGACAGGGTAAAACTGCTCCCGTGGGTTTCTGAGACTGAAAGTCCTTGTGGGAGTAGAAAGCCCCTTCTGTCTCCTGCCGAGCACTTGGCAGTTTAGAACTGCCAACCTTAGATCGCAGCCCAACGCTGAGCCACTGCACGAGCAGGCAGAAGGGAGTCTGCTCGTTTGGACTCAAGGCTGTCTTCGGGGAGACTCCGGACGCTAGAGCCTGTTTTTGTTTCCTGTCTTACTAGGTGATGTTGAGTTGGTTGGACTCGTCGCACCCCTACGTGCAACAGCATGAAACACTGCCCGGTGCTGCACGTGCCCATTGACGCAGCCGTACCATCAGTCTGTCTCACGAAGGGCCTTCCTCCACTTCGCTCTCCCTCCACGTTCCCCAGCATGATGCCCTTCTCCAGGAACTGGTCTCTCCTGACAGAAGACAAAGTCTCATCGCCATTGCCTCTAAGGAGCACTCTGACCGTACTCCTTCCAAGACAGATCGCTTGCTCTTCTGGCAGGCCCTGGGGCTTTCAGGATTCTTGGCCAGCACCCTCATGTAGGGGCATTGACTCTCCATCTGTCTTCCTTATTCAATGTCCCACTTTCATATGCGTGTGAGGGGACTCAATACCGTGGTGTGATAGGTCGGTTTGTGGTGCCAACCTGGCCAATAAGAACATGTGGGATTAATAAGGTCGCAATTTGATTGGAGGGCAAAAGGTGAAATGGCTCAGCAAGCTCCATGTCTCTCTCTCTCTCTCTCCCTCTCTGGTTACCAGACCTGCCTGCGGCTGCCTTAGCTAGTTCTCTGCCTCAACTTGTGTGCTACACAACCTGTGGGGCTGTCAACCCGTGGATCGTGTCACTAGAGCTTGAGCGTCCTTCGAGACCGGCTTCGCGACGCTGCTGGTGTGTACGTCGCTTGAGCTTGGGACTGTCGGATCCTGTTGTCTGGCTGACTCTCAGTGACCCACCCTGCTGTTTGCTGCCTGTGGCCAGACAGCCTGCATTGCCCAAGGGAAGACTCAGCTGTCTGCTCCCTTGACCTTGGACCCAGCAGCCCTCAGGAGTCGAAGGACTTCCAGTATAATAACTATTCCATAGAAGTGAGTTGAACTGAGGTCTCTGTACTGCTGTGTGGACTAATTAGCTGTTATATTCCTTTGTGCTGTATATATATATATATAAAATCTTAAGTGCCCTGGTCTTGTTTCTCTAGAGAACCCTGTCTAACACACATGGCTTGGGTCAGGCCTAGAAAAGGCCAAGACTGGCAGCGGGTAGAAAAAGCCTCCACCTCACAGCCACCCAGTCAATTTGCACTCACAGTCGCTCGTGGTGAGACTCCCTGGGCTCTTCAAGACTGCGAAGCTCTATGGGGGTAGACTGCCTCATCTGTCTCGCTGGGAGCAATCGGTACTTTCAAACTGCTGACTTTACACTTAGCAGCCCAATGCCTAAGCTACGAAGCCACCAGGGCTCCCTGGGCCAGGCAGGCAGCATGTCAAACCAACCACACAACAGACTGAGAAGGAGACACACAAGCCAAGCCCAATTTACGAAGCAAACTGAAATCTGACAGCAGGATTGAAAGAGCAAAGGGAGACTGGTCTGGGGTATGCGTTTCCTGGGCATCTTTCGGGCAGTGGTGGGAGGGCAGGGGCGAGCCCTGGCTGTCGAGGGCAAAGCGAAGTCACTGGAGCATGGCTCGGACCCCAGGCATCAGGGCGCGCTTTGTGCTGGAGTCTGCTGGGGATATATCCTTGATCTGCAGGATGAACTCATGGGCTTCCTGGAAGAGGTCCTGCCCCACTGCCGCCTCCACACGCTGGCGCCACGCGGCCAGCTTGGGCCGGCCTTCAAAGACCTGGCAGCCGGCACTCACGGGCTGGAGGAGGAAGAGAACAGGTTAGGGAGGTGATGGGACAGGTCTTGGGCAGAAGCACTGGCCTGGCCTTGGGGCCCTGAGCTCCAGGCACCATCACAGCCTGACGCCTGGAGGGACGATGGAGCAGAAAGCCACTCTCAGCAACCTCCAGGACCATAGCCCTGCCCACAGCACTCACATGAGGACCATAGCCCTGCCCACAGCACTCACATGCATCAGCTCGGTGACTGCCACCAGATCGGCCACGGAGATGTGGGGCCCAGCCAGGAAGGCCTTGTCCTGCAGGAACTTGTCCTGCAGCAGCTTCAGGTTCCTCTCCAATTCTGCCAGCGTGGCGGTCAGTGTCTCGGGGGCCACTGGCTCACTCAGGAAGCTAGGAAGCATCACCTGGTGAGTGGACAGGCAAAGACACAGCTGGGGAGCCAGGCTTGCCTTGGGGCAGAAGACAATACTCCTCTGAGCTGCTCCCTAGTTCTGAGGCCCAGCTAAGCCACCACTGCAGGGCAGTGGTCTCCCATCGACTTGAAGGCATGGGGGTGGCTTGGCTGGCATTACCTATAAAGTGTATACCAGATTTGGAAGACCTATGGCCCCCCCAAAATGCATAATAGCTCTTTCATCATTTTTACACTGGATTCCGTGTTGCCATGGCACATATTTTTTGGTGGGTCATGGTCCTCACAAAATTGGTGTTGACATCCTAATCCTGATACCTATAAGTAGGACACTGTTTGGCTATAGGGGGCTCCTTTTGTTATGCTAATGTGGCAATGCCAAGGTGGGGTGGGCCCTAAACCTAATCGCTCTGAGTTATGAAAAGAGCAGAAATAACATGCGCGCGCGCGCACACGCGTGCACACACACACACACACACACACACACACACAGTCACGGACAGTAGGCCCCCAGGAACACCAAGGAGGACACCGGAAACCAGAATAGAGGTTCACAAAAGGAACTGGCATGACCAAGACCCTGCTTTGGACTTTGAGTTCCCTTTACTATGAGAAAATACATTTCTTTAAAACCACCCACTCCCTGGGGCGTCTGTGTTACTACGCAGCACTGGAAAACAAGCACCCATGGTAGAATGTGTTTTTTTAATTTGGGGGGTGTCTTGGTTTTCTGCTGTTGCTACAACAGAAAAGGCCA